AGAGGGAGAGAGGGAGAGAGGGAGAGGGAGAGAGGGAGAGAGGGAGAGCGGGAGAGAGGGAGCTCCCCCGGCTCGAGAGATGGGTTCGACATAAACCGGGAGATGGTCCTTTAAAGGTTTCTCTCTGAATGCTTTTTACCCTTGCCTGGAATGACCCACGTGCGCAGCCGAGACCAATGTTTATCTTTTGTTGTATCTTCAACACCCATCCACGAGGGGAAATGCTGAAATGAGAAACACTTCAGCTCACTTCAATGGTGAGTCCAGAGTTTAGACCCTCGGGCTACCTTCACTCCCCCACTCCTCCACCTCTCCCTCCCCCACTCCTCCCCCCCTCCCTTCCCCACTCCTCCACCTCTCCCTCTCCCACTCCCTTCAATCCACCCCTCCCCGTCCCTGCCCTTTTCACCCCGTCCACCCGTCCATTTTGCGAAATTTCCTAAATTTTTTGAAGAAAACACGTTTGGGAAATCGTTGAACCAACGGCGACAACGATCGGCTCCATCAGTCCTTGTTGTCCTCTACAGGTGTTGAACACGGCGTTCATCTGCTTGCCCGTGGCAACGGAGAAACTACCGCGTCCGACTTCACAATTTTGGAAAAGTGGCTTTAAAAAAAAAATGTCGTGGGGGAAAAGTAGTAACGAAATCCGGATGATCGACGACCGGTATGCGATTTCATTCTCATGTAACCAAAGATTTCCCGAATTAAAAATTTCGCCCCGTCTCGTAAAAAAAAATCTCATTTTCATATAGATAGTAATACCTAACTTGAGGTTCTTTTTTTTTTTTTCCTTCAGATGCAATTGAATCAACGAATGAAGCTTTCAAAAATGAAAGAATCTGGTTTTGGTTGAACGCCTAAAAAACTCGCAAGTCGGGACTCGATATTAATATACCACCTTCGTTCGTTTCCGCATATTTTTATTGCCAAGGCGAAGGAGAAGGAAGGGGAGGTGGAGAAGGAGGAAGAGGAGGCGGAACAAGTATTTGTGGGAGAAACAATGTTGCGTCCTGTCGTATTGTTGCCTCGAAGGAGACGATAAAATAGTGATAAAAGAGTTGAAGGATGAATTTCCCCATACCAGGACCTTCACTCTACCCCTTTAAGTCCGAATTTCGCGTTGCGCAACCACGAGATGAGGACGATAGAACCTCCTGATGGATTCCGGGGAACGGGAGAACGAGGACGGGTCGGAAGGCCACGAATGACGTAAGACCTCTTAAGACCCCTTCAGACCCCTTAATACCTCTTAAGACCCCTTAAGACCCCTGAAGACCCCTGAAGACCCTTTCCTCGCCCGGCGGCCGATCCCGAAAACTCGGGCTCGGAACGCGTCGCTCTCGAGACGTGCCGGCAAGCCGAATGCAACGTGACTCCAGATCGACCTGTTTAATACGTGTGGCCCATTCAAAAATGCCCATGCTGCCTTTCCACCGATCTACTGGTCGAGTTCCCCCCTTTTTTTTCAGACATCGCCTCCGTGCACTCCGATGAAATGTCAATCCGAGGAAGGTTTCACTGGAAATTCCGTATGCGCACTCAAGAAGTACAGATGGACCGGGTGCAGAGACTGAAATTATTCTATCGATTCAAGTGTCCCAGCCATCGATTACTAAAAGTGAAGAGCTACGAAACCGAAAATTCGAGGCGTCACCACGAGGCAGATGGATCTACCAGGAAAAGATCGCACGCGATCGTACGCAGCATTCCGACGTGTGTCATCCGATTTACATGCGCCGTCCGAGCGAGTCTGAGCCGAAATGCGACGCAGCGAACGACGGCATGGTGGCAGTGCCGGGTCCGCGAAATTTTAACACGCAGAAAACGGGATGAAGTGGACTTTCCTTCGAGAAGTCGTAAGCTCGTCGACGCGAGACTTCAACGACGATCCAGCGAATCAAAGGAAGGAAGACGTTCGCTTCCAGACGCCATCGAGCCCAGATCGAGCCCATCTTTTGGGCCCGAGCCCCGATACGTCCGATCCGGGTTCGGACGCGGTGAGCCTGTTTCGATATTGGCTGAAGATCGGGAACCTGGAACGAACCAAGTTTTGCTTCTAATAATAAGTGGCACGCATCTACGCTTTAAGAAGCCGTAGCGATAACTTACAAGTTTTTTTTTTTTCCTCCAGATGTTACGATGTCGAGGCTTTCTTCCTATCTGCTGAGAGTTCAACCCCTTCTCCTTCCTCCCCCCTTCTCCCCCTCTCCTCGCTCCTCCCTTCTCCCACTTCCAGCTTCCCGCATCCGCCCTCGCTACGATTTCCGCAGTGATTTTTCTTTCCGGATCGGGATCCCTGCATGCCTGGTTCGACCGTGAAGGATGACAAGCTCATGCTATCGCGTTTTCCCTATCGTTTTGCCCTTCGACTGCGGCCGTCGACAGACGAATGCCAGAGAATGAGTTATGTCGCCTTTCCGTTCGGATCGTCTTGCGTAACGGCTCGACCCATGCGTCCCGTGCAAGTACTCGAGTCGAACGAGTACTCGTGGTGCAGTGCGTCGTACGAGCCGGTCGTGACCGAAATGCGACACGACATTCGTCGTACGTCGTACCCGAAGCGCCTCGACCCATGCACGTCGCGACGTTAAAAGTCGTCGTGCAAGTCCCCCATCATCCATATCGTCACGGGCGAAGCGTACGAGAAATGGAAATACAAAGGCTCCTTCTAAGATCATTTCCAACGGAAGAGTCGAATCTAATAATAAATGATAATCACTCGTCATAGAGCATATACTCGTAGTGCCCTCATTGTGAGAGAGAACATCTAGCACTCAGAGCCAAGGCTGCCAAAAGGTTATCTGATGTTTGAGACATCACATACCTGCTCGACTCCTGTCACGATCGGGAAGATCGTGACGTGAAGAACAGGAGATTTTACGGTAAGACAAATTCATCGCCGAAATGAACCAAGAGCTAGTCCTGTACAGGATGTCCTATTCTTTTTTCCAAGGGGCAATAAATTTGTACGAAGCACCCCATTAAAGTTCAACATCATCCAGACAGCTAAGTCTAGAGCGCCAGGTCTCGAAACCATCGGTTGTATGTTTATTTTAATTCGGGGACTGTCAGAAAATCTGTAATTGGTGCATGCAAATTTCGCTCTCTAAATGATGCTGGAGGATTCCAGGCTTTTGCGACATTCATTTCACCATAAAAATTGCTCATCCCGGACCACCACTCAAATGTTTTGCCAGAATCAGTAACACATCCAGGATGTTTCGACTGTCTTTCAGTTTCATGGGTGGGGGCTGTGGGTGGGGGCTGTGGGCAGGGGCTGTGGGTGGGGACTGTGGGGTTGACACCGAATGGAGTAGGAAAATAAACATCCTGGAAGCGTCACTGGACTCAAATTTTCTCAATCGACTTTTGGTGAAAGTGAGGAAACTGCGCAAAATATGCTCTCGGTTCGTAGTGCAGCTGTTCTCACTGTTCCTGCGCAACCGAGAGAGGAGGCGACCATTCCCTCCCCTTCAGTCATGAAGCTATCCTATCTGGATGGAAGATCGTGTTCCGGCCTTTCGAGCCTGCTTCGACTGCGAAGGATGGAGGGCTTGTCGTATGCTATTTTACTTTTTTAAACTCGAGCAACTCCGTAGCTGGATGCGAAGGCACTTCGAAACGGACGAACTCAGGTAGAAAAGAATGGAGCAAGGGCGGAAATGTGCGATATCTATTTGTATTAAAAATATGAAAAAAATCTTATTTTGCGAAGGTGCGCCATCTCCCACCTCCGGTCTTGCCTTGCTCCGGATGACTAAAGGAGGCGGGAAGTTCGTGGATCCTGGAGGCTAAAAGGAATTTATCCAATCCTAAGTTTTGACTGTGGCCGTAAGCGAGGTCTAATTATTCTTGGATCATGGATTGCTTTGTTATCGTCGAGGGAATTCGAACCGCACTTTCCTCCTCCGCCGCGAAGGTGGTGAGATCGAATCGAATGATGCGAAACTGCACCCAAATGCGAAACTCCCCCGCATCTCCTCTGTCACTGTCGCAACGCAGCACCTTTGTAGTCGGTGTGCAAGGACCCTTGAGATGCACGTCGTAGATTGAGATCGAGGGTTCCTATCCCTCCTAAGATTTTTTCCCTTTACGTATATTTTCCATATAGTCGTGGTACGAGTCGAGAGAGGCAATCCAAGGACGTCCCAAAGATTTAATGAAAAGAATATAAGCTTCCTCTCCATTACAAGGCTCTACCAAGAGTACGAGACTCCTTGCAGACCTCCTCCTTCCCTACACACGGGCCTTGGAAGTCCTCACGACACCTTCCAGCTCCCTGTCCCCTGAGATCCCCCGTCTGTCGTCCGGGTATGCGCACCCGCACGAACCCACGACCGTGTGGGTCGTTGGGTCCAAGGGCTTCTCTCGAGCCGGACATACGAGCCGGTGTGTGTCACGTCTCGATATAGAAACGATGTGCTGCGGAGGCGTTTTCCATTGCCGAGAAGGCCACGAGCGGCTCCATGGTTGCCACACCTTTCAGCCAGTCAGTTGCCAGAACCGATTTGTGATGATTTGTATGTAAGTCCTGTCTTTATCGTATGGACTTCATTTTTTGTCGAGAAATTTTTATTTTAATTAAATCAGAAAAGAAATAAGTAATCGACTTTAAAAAGATGTTAAGTTTTCATTTTAAACGTGCTTTCAACGTTTGTTGATTTTGGCTGAACAAAATAATTAGTGTATTCAAAAAGCCAGGTAAATGAAAAATAAGCATATTCGAACCAAATAAACCAAATAAAGAAGTTCTTACGTTTGTAATTTCGAGTAAGGTACAGGATCGAACCGGTCGAAGAACATAACCTGTGTTCATTCAGCATCACCCTCATTCTTGAGATCGTATTGTCTGGCTATTCCAGCGCACGAACGTGCAAAATTACTCAAAGCACGACCGCATAATAACATTTATTAGAGGGGAAGAAACGCACGAGAAAGGGAGAAAGAAGAAAGGAAGAAAGCGATGAGAATAATGAGAATATCCTAGTGAGCTATAAGTGAGAAATCGGAAGAGTCAAAAGACTTGGACGCGATGGTTTTCCCGATCGCAGACGACGATTTTGGTGTTGGTCATGACCGCGACGCCCTCGAGGGCTTTGAACTCGCCCTCGCCGCTGCCCCACGCTCCGAAGCTGCGCAGGAAAACGCCGTCAGATGTGAAGATTTGAATCCGGTTGTTGCCAGAGTCAGCGACGAAGATATAGCCCTGCTCGTCCACGGCAACTCCCCTGGGGAAAAAGAGGGAGAAAAAAAATGAAAGGTGTGTTTCGATTTGGTTGCCGATTTTGCGATCGCTGGGTGAGGGAAACTCAGAATCAAGATTTTGCAGCATGCCTTTCAGCGGGGCACGGATCGGTCAGATTGCAAATTTCATCAGTTGTGAGGGTTTGTGAGGGCATCGGAGGGCTATTCAAACACAACGCATCTACCAACCTGCCAAATAACACCTACCTACTTTTTCGTTATCCTAAACAGTTTTTGGATTACCTGACACCTGCAGTTATCATATTCAACTTTCGGGAATGCAATAATTATTTAGCAGAAGGATGGGAATTATATTTTCAATTCCAAACTAACGGAATGCGATGTCAGATCATGCTGTGGTGGGGCAAATGGTGGAGCAAGAGGTGGAGCATCTAATTACCAAATGCGATGGAGGAACGCGGAAGTCTTGGAACGCGTGCCCAAACGTTTTCTTTTACTTCTCGTGAGGTTTCTACTGGTTTTAATTTGTTAGGAACGAGGATTAAGCATTTATGTGGTCACACCAAATATGGTTGCCAAAGCGGTCGGTAGGTTGGAGGGAGTCTGGGAGGGAGGCTGGGAGAACGAGAGGAGTGGAGCACCCTGGTCCTTCGGAATGTCCAAGCCTTCTCGCTCCATCGCATTCCTCTGTATCTGCAAATCCCATCCACGCCATATTAAACTATCACGTCGGACTGCAGGGTGTGCAGCATAGCAAACAGATGGATGCGGTTAAATGCAGACCGTTTCCTAATAACCTAGGTCTATCCCTTCGCGAGTGCCGATAAAAAAAGACGCTAAACGAGAGTCCCATGCTTCGTGGCGCGCGGGACGAAGGTTCCAGGTGTGACGGTTCCGGGAGTGACGGTTCCAGGAATGACGCAGGGTGGGCCACGCGGTGACGACCTCGACACAGTTCCTCGTTTCGTGTCGTGTCGTGTCGCTTCGTGTCGTTCACGCTCGATAAACAAAAGAACCGGGGGAGGGTAATGGTCCATCCGTTTCTGAGAGACCGCGTGCATGCACCTAAACTCAATTCATTTCACTTAGTGGGAACATCCATCTGCTAAGAGGACGCCGTGAGTTACCGTTAGTTCTCAGTTTGCTTCGATGGAAGGCAATTTTCAAGGCAATTTTAGCCTGTCATAATTTAAATTGCCCTGTACTCTTAGAAAAGAGTGAGCGATTTCCCTGAAAAGGGGTTAGCGATTTTACTCCCTAAAAACGAGGAAGCTCACCTCTCTCTTCCCTGAGAATAATCATGAACTTTTTCTAGCAGTTTGAAAATTGCTCTCCTTTCTTTGTCTCGCACTCTTAAAAAGTTATGGATCCTCCTCAGATAAGGAGTAGTTATCGATTGAACTTCCTCGTTCTTAGGGAGTAAAATCGCTAACGCCAGTCTCGCTCCCTTTCAGGGACATCGCTCACTCTTTTCTGAGTGTAAAGCCGTTTTCGGCGAGCCTCCGCTTCTACTCGTCCGTCAACTGCTTTTCTAGTATTTTTTTTAAGGAAAAGGCGATACGAAGAGAACAACGTTTGAGTTTCGTCGAAGAGCAGAAGAATCCCACTGCCAACAGCAACTTGTAGCACAGCCAATTGCAGCACAGCCAAAGTAGCACAAGCACTTGTAGCTCTCACACCGGGTAATCGGCGGAGCTCCGCTCATTTTAGGACTCGTGCTCGAGTCGACCTTTCGTCGACCCTTGTCATCTATTCATAAACGTTGTCAGTCACGGGGGAAAGACGAGAAGTCGCTTTTTTTGTGTACATTCCTCCTTTTCGGAATGACGCTGGCAATTTCACAAGAAAAAGTCGAGAGGGTGCAAAGACGCGCGCTAGAGAGAGAGAAAGGGAGCGAGCGGATTCCGGTATATTTCTCACCCACACACCGAGAGAGAGAGAGAGAGAGAAAGAGAGAGAGAGAGAAAGAGGAAAAGACAGAAACATGCATTAACATGGAGGCTCTAAGAATAGCATGCGATTCCTGCCTCTCTCTCACCTGGGGAACTTGAACTGGGACTCCCCGGATCCTTCCTCGCCGAACACGGTGAGGACCCTCCCGTTGATATCGAAGATCTGCACCCGGTGGTTGTTCGAGTCCGAGACGATCACCCGGTTCGTCGACGAGACGGCGATGTAATGCGGGTTGTCCAACTCTCCCGGGGCTTTCCCCAGAGACCCGAATTTCCCCACGAACGTCCCGTCCGATTGGAACACCTGTCGGAACACAGTATATTCTGGATTTAAATTCCTTTCTTCTTAAACGAGTCCATGGTCTTTCCCTTACCGGAACCTGACTTCAAATATTCAATTCAAAGCCTAAAAACAATTTCACCGAGTAAAAATGAAATATATTTGAAAAATGTATCCAGTCCTTCGATTATCAAATCCTTTGTATTGGAGGAACAGACAGTATGGATTTTTTAACCTGGATTCTATGATTCTCCTTATCGCAGACGTAGACGAAGCCCAGGGCATCCGTGGTCACGCCCCAGGGATAATTGAATTTCCCATCGGACGACCCATGGCTCCCGAAGCATCGCATGAAACGCCCCGAGGGATCGAACACCTGCGACAGATCGACAAAATACATGTGCTGCTTTTCGTTCATCCCGGGAAAATATCGCATAATAGTTGGAGGTACGAGGGAAAAAGTGGACGAGGATCACGCAATACTACGGCAGCAATCGGTGCCTTGAAAGTTTGGAATTTTTTATTTTAGAATGGAAGGTAAGTTGCAGACGCTGGAATTCACCTGAATGCGATGGTTATACCGATCCGAGATGATGAACTGCCCGATGCGGTTGACAGCGACCCCCGCCAGGCAGTCGAACTCCCCCTCCGCATTCCCATACTGGCCGAATTCCTTCACGAACCCGCCGGCTTCGGTGAAGACTTGCACGCGGTGGTTGGACGAGTCCGCGACGACGATGTTGTTCTCCGGCGTGACGGCCACGCCTCGCGGCCACGTGAAGGCGGCGGGTCCGCTTCCCCTGCTGCCGAATGCGTACAGCACTTTCCGCTTCTGCAGGTACTGGTTCCTGGGGAAGGAACTCGGGTACACGTCACTGAAGTACCTGCATGGAAAGGAGCCGTTCCGTCTCGAGTTTATGGCTCGCCGCTTCTCCTCGTCGATATTCTACTTTCATTCTTTTATCCTTTAAATCTGCAGCGAAAATTTGATGGTGTTGCTACCAAAGTACGTCAGGTTGGAGATTTTTTCCCACAGAATAATTCTACGAGTCCTGTCCTAGGCATATCTTCAGCTTACATGCTTCAGCTCTATCACAAGATTCTGGGAACATGCACGAAACACCCAAACTCCATTGTTCGTGTCTTTTTTTCCAAATAAAATAAGATAATTTACGGTCTGGCGTTGACTGTCGCAAATGAAGAACCCATCATAAATTCCAGACATTTCCAGATGAAACAAATCTGAAGGACTCAGGCGGAATCCTCAGAACGTAGGTTTCTCCATGATGAGGGAGGATAGGGCGAGAGTCGAGAGAGATTTTCCGCTTTTGGGCGAGTGAGGTAGAATGGAGAATAGGTTGAAGTTTAATAAGAGTAAATGCTGGATTCTTCACATCGGTCACAAGAACTATAGGTCTCCGAACGCGTTCGGCGAGGATAACTGGAGGAGGTAAACGGAGAGAGAGACCCAAGATCACCCCGAGATCAGCAACTCAACTTCTCGCACAAGCAGGCGACGTTAGCGAAATTTAACAAGATTCTAGGCACAATCCGGAATTCCGTTGCCAATTACACGTACACGTACACGTGCTTATTCTTCCGTTGCATGCGGACACCGGCTAGACCCCCTTTTCCAGTTTTTTCATTGAATTTTGGAGTCCTCCAAATGAACGTGAACAAACGGTGTTAGTGAGGGTCGAGAGGCAGGCGACGAAAATCAAAGGAGGAACGAGGACTTTCATACGAGAGACGTTTAGAACCGTTGGGACTGCATCCGCTCGAGAGAAGGATGACGAGGGAGGTCCTCATCGACCTCATCCAGGCTTCCACGCATCGCTAAGGGAATCGATAACGGGGAGCGTGGTGGGTTTTCGACTCGATTCGCCCAAACCCCGAGGTAGACTCAGGTCGCGGAATCACTTCTTAAGGGTGAAAACGTGGAACGCCTGAAGCGATGATGTAGTGGCTGCCCCGCGCCGTAAGTAGCCTTAGAAAGAAGTTACGTGCCTTCATGGGCAAAATAAAAAATGAGCAATTGAGCAGTAAGTAACCAGACAGTAGGCGGATATGCCCCTGAAAAAAAGTTTGCCTTTAAGAGGGGTGATATACGACCACGTGATGTCACAATAGGCAAAAATTCCTCTTCACATCCCTATCCGAACCTAGAATGCGAAGAGAAGAAGCTAGGGCGTATTTAATTATGTTATCACTGCACTATATTATATCTCAGAAGAGGTTAACCACATCGGTTCAACTCCCAACTTAGATATTCATTTCAGCGTGTTTTACATAGAATATAATACCGTAACAACTGTTCGCAGTACTTTTTTCTAGCGAAATAGCAAAGAGCTCTTGAGCGATGAGGGAAGTTTCAGGTGCCAACTGGGTCACCAGTGTTATTGATGTGACCTCGAAATGTAGCGTAGGGGTGACGAAACCTGTTCCTTGTGAGCACGCCATGTGTTTTCATTCAGACTTTTCGGGAGGATCTCATCGGTGATAGTTGCGACGTGAATCGAGGACGTTTAGCAGGTTTTCTCGGGACTTACGAAGCAGAGCATCGCAATCGCATGTAAAATGAAAATACGCGATGCCATTGTGCCAGCGAAAGCCTTAAGCGACGAGCGACTTAAAGAGCGCCGTCTCCGATTCCTCCGCATGTCTATCGAAACCCCCTTCTTCTGGACCGTTAATTTCGCTTGATCGTTTCGACCTAACCTCTAAGATAGAATGGGGAAAGGGAAGAGAGAATGGGATGCAAGAATGATGAGAGAATGACGCTCGGGTCTGACTTGGCAGCGGTGGGCGAGGAGGCTTTGTTGGCTTCGTCCTCCGAGCTGCCGTCGGGGCTTCCGTCCCTCGCCAGGATGCTCAGCGTCCCCGAACTCCGACTCTTCTGCAGTAATTCCTTGCTTCTCTCCTTGTACCTCTCGCCGTACTTGTTCTTCAGGTACCTGGGGCGAGGAGAGCGGAGTCGTTATCCACCCCGTCCGTCCCATTCCTTCTTTCGGCGGTTTCCATCGAATCGAACGTCGTGTATTCCTCCGAAGGATAACGACGAGAGGAAAATCCTTTTCGAAAGCGTTTCGAAATAAAATATTCTTGAATATCTCGGGTGGAATTATCTCGAGTGAGATGCTCGCGTTTCGATTATAATATATAAAAAAAATCGGTACATAAAATAATCAATCAATTAATGCTACAGACAACTAAATAGTGGAGCGAAGGGAAAATAATTTTAAAAATCTCATTGATACCTGGCCCAAGAGCTGAGTGAAGACTCTCCATTCTTTTTGTGCACATGCGTGGAATCGTCGTTGACCCCGAGGCCAGAGCTCGGGCTGTGGGCTGTCCCCGATCGACCGATGACGGCAGTTCGGGATCGGCCTGGCGGTTGCTCCCCTGCGTCGCGGACGAACCCTTCGTCGTCTCCGTCGTCCGCGTCGTCTATTCCGCCGATCACAGCCGAGCTCTTGCTACGGTTTAACAGACGGCTGCTGCTGCGGTAGCGGCTGGCAGTGGTTCCGACGTCGTCGTCGCCGTAGCCGTAGCGCCCTCGCCGGTATTTTCCCGTCATCCAGGGCCGGCTGTGCGGAGTACAACACACCGACCCTTATTTTACGTGCCAATCGACGGAAATGAATCAGAACCATCTGCATGGCCAGAATCATCGCTTGGTTCACATGCTTCAAGCGTCGGGGTTTTTCATGCTCAAGAAATCGAGGAACATTATTCAGTGATAGATTCAGATCAAGAGATGTAGGAGTGATTGAATCGCTGAGACTTCGCTCTGGTCATCCACGATCCCATATCCTGTTATTTTTCCAAACGCTGAAAGTTCGAATTCGCTTACCGCAAATTATTTCTTGAAATCAGATTAAAGTTAATTTTGCAATATCTGCTTGCTAGACTAATTCTGTGCGTATTTTAACTTCAGAGAGTTCAATTCATTACTTTTGAAACAAACACCTGAAAAAAAAACTCGTGGAGAACGGAGTACATTTTGCTAAGGGTAACAAGAGTAGTGGTAGAAGTGAATGGGGAGTAATGGCACTCGGGTGGCTGTCTTTCACTTTGGGGCTTCAGGGAGTTATATCTTCAGCCTCTCTGGATCTGCTCCAAAAAGGGGAAGGCAGAGACAGAAAGGAGCAGAGAGGAATGGAAAAGACAGAAAAGGGCAAGGCAAAAACAGAAAGGGGGCAGACATAAAAAGGAGCAAAGGGACAGGCATAGAGAGAAAGGAGCAAAGGGACAGGCAATGCGAGAAGGAACAAGGGGACAGGCTTAAAGAGAAAGGGGCAAAGGGGGCAGGCATAGAAAGGGGCAAAGGAGACAGAAAATGAGAGAAAGGGGCAAAGGAGACAGAAAATGAGAGAAGGGGGCAAAGGGGACTAGATGTGACCCTGACCTATCGGTATCCTCCGCCTCCATCCTCCCGTAGCGACGAGTCCTGCTGGGAGAGGTGCCAGCGGTCGTCGTCGCATAACGAGAGCTGGGTTCCGACGCCCCGCTTCGATAGAGGCTGCCGGAAGTGCGACTCCTCGCGTATCCCGATGCGAGGGGCGAGGAGGAGGAGTCGGCGGCGGAGGTGGACACTCGGGCCTGGGCGCTGCGGGCCAGGAGGGGACCGATGTCCGTGCGGTCGATGCCACGACCGCGAGGAACTCCGGCTACTTCTTCTTCGCTCGAGGAGCCCGCGTCCGAATCGCTACTCCCGGATCCTCGAGAGGCGAGGGCGGGAGTAGAGCTCCCCCCTAAAAAAGTCCCTCGATATCGGCTGCTTCCACTGGTCGTCCGAGGATCCACGGGGAGGGGGGGACGGGGACACAACAATTCGCACAATCATCAACGGGGTCTTCAAATAGGCCTAAATCATGCTCGGGGAGGGTCCTGCATCCCGTTCCTACGACTACGACTCAGAACACCTAGCGTTTCATTTCTTTACATCTCGCACGTTCGAAACGAAACCAGAAGAAGGGGTTTTCGTGTTTTCCCGTCGGTGTACGGAGTATCGGCTTCCGATTAAAAATGGTTAAGAAACGGATTTCGATAGAAATTCTGGGAGAATGTCGGTAGAAGAAGCGTTTTCATGCCGGTGTTCAGTCTCGCTTTGGACCTGGTGAAAATAGGATCATGAGATCAACATCTGCTTCACGGGTTCTTATAGATTTACAGCAGAGAACACTCGATTATATGTACATGGCGGTATCGAGCGTAAACACGAGGGTATCCCGACCCAGTTTTCTTGCTACCAGCTGTCTTGGATTGCAAAACATGTGCAGAAACGTCTGTCTGAAGAAAGCCGATCTTCGGAAACCGGCTTCAGAGAACTCGTACGTTTTTCTTCCCTCACTTTCGAGGAAACGAAGCCAGAATAGTGGCAAGGAATCTTTCGGATTCTCATTGTTTCCCGCAATAAAGAAACTTTCTCGACGATATCACCCGGAGGAGGCGAGGATCTACGCCGAACAACCCTTCGTCTCGGTTTCCGTTTCAACATTTTTCGCCGACTCGAACGACTAGGGGATGCAAATCTCAAGGCAAGGTGCACCTAATCACCAGGGGATACCATTCGCACGAGGAGGTGCACCTAACGACGAGGGGACGCAATGCTCCAGACGAGGTGCACGAAACAGCAGAGGTCTGAGGTCTAAGGGTCACTGCGCTTTCAACTAGACACGAATGTCGTGCAAGCCTAAAGGTCTAGGGGAAAACAAGGACAGTTCAAGGTGTCGGAGTCCTCATCCTCGTATCGGCACGGAATCGGCATGGAATCGGCGTGGAATCGGCTCACGAGGCATCGACGGTTAAAGAGACAAACGCCGAGTTGCGAATAGGTGCAAATCACATGCAGTCTATCTCTTAAATTCGTTAAACTCAATTTTCGTAGCATTTTTTTTTAAATAAATAACGAAGTTCCTTTTTCTAAATTTGAAATTTGAATGAGTGGCTGAGGATTTCTCCCTTACTTTTCTCCCTGGAACCGATACGAACTCGAGCTCGCTCGACTCGAGCCAAGCATACCCTCGAACGATGCAAGCCAGCCTGTTTTCGTCATTCGAGAAAACGGATTCCAAATCTCCAGCTAAATGGATTGCTGAGATTTATGATGAAATTCTCGTTTTTTACGCGGTGTCTTAAGCCTACGTCAGCTGCAATCCCTCTGCAGCTTTTTTCATGAAAAGCCAGTCAATAATGGTTTTAGGATAAAAAAAAAAGTTAGGCATGACACTGAGGGCCTTAACCCATTCATCAACGAAAATTATGAGCCAACTTTTCAAAAGATATTGAGGATGGGAGCGAATAGGAATTCTGTTTCAACACGGAATTAGGTCGTTCTAAGCTAACGGGCTTCCGAGTCCCCCCCACAAGAATTCTCTCGGTCGTTCTTTTGTGCATGGAGGAGTTCCTTTTTTTTGAGGGGGGAGGGGGGGAAGAAGTTGGGGGGGGGGGGGAAGAAGAATACAAGTTGCTTCAAAACACGTTACCTCTTTGATTGAAGGACACGAGAGGGTGAAACCGTCTAAGTTTGGACTAAGTTCGGACACTTTAACGTACATTGTCGTAAGACTTGGATCGTCGTTGTCCTCGGCAACAATTCTTTCTAGCAAGAACCGTTTCGAAGGGCGACCTCGCAACCGCTTAGTTCTGTGACAACGTACGTTATGGTGTCGGAATTTCGGTACTGTCCGAGTTTGGATAGTTTTTCCTTTTTTTTCCGTCGATGAGGGATGAGAGCACGGAAACGGAAGAAGGAATCGGAAATCCCATGGTACGATTTTCTCGCGGATGGTAGAATCGGAAACGCAGACGGAATCCGAGAGGAAAACGTAAATCGAAGAGGAGGAAGTCCACCTCAATCCATTCTCCCGATGTGAATGGACCCTTGATCGTGATCCCCATTTCATCCCCATGCATCCCCGTGCATCCAGGGAGAGAAAGACCCGAACGTAGACAAAAAAAACGTTACGGATGCTGCATTTTTCGTTTCTTCAGCATCTTTCGCTTCCTCGGAACGAAGACCTTGTTAAAACCGTGTTTGCTTTTAGATTTTGGAGCCATTATTGGAGGAAAAACCCTGACGGTCCGAGTGAGGACTGCGAGGATTCCATTCCAAGAAGGTGTTGTCTACCTATGTTTTTTTTTGTTGCTCGTCCTCTCAAATTCTGGAAATTAAGCGGGAAAGAAAATTTAGCGGGAAAAGAGAAACTCAGAGAATTTCTTCTCAATTTCCATGTCATAAAAGCGAAGATGGAGATCCATATCTCGCTCGAGAGAGAAAACTTTTCTCGAGGACTCGTAAAAGCTTTCTCGAGGGTTTCTGCAAGACGGAACTCTTCGTTCTGCAGCTACGTTCGAATGGAAATTGGCACGCCAATCTCGGTCATCGTCGTAGATGCGATCGGGAAGGAATTCTATCGAAAAAAAAATCCATTAATTTCATGGGCTCATGCTCGCGTTCTTAACCCCATTGTAAACGGGTCCGACGAATGCCATTTTCCTATTCAAATTAAGTAACCGAGTGCGACGCCGTCTGGCTTCTTGCATGCAAAAATGGGGGCGAAACGAGCCAGCGACGGCAGTCGAACAAATCGGTGCGCAAATTCGGGCATCGTTCTTCGTTCCTCCACGGACGCGAGCTCCGTGGAAATATCCCAGGCAACTGCATGCAATTGCAATTTCAGGCAACTGCATGAATTCGGACCCGCAAACCATCTTCGCTACGTGGACGCCTCCCGGGCATTCGCCTAATTTTTCACACAAACCATGCATCTTAGGAATATGACTAAATTTTTACAAAGACGTATAAAGAGAGTGATAGCCACAAAAAATAGGTTCAACGTTCTGACATTTAGAAATTGCACGCAAATCATGGTGAAATGGATGATGAAATATATTGAGACCCATGAAAAAGGCTGTCTAGTGACTTTAGCAGAAATATGCGATGAAACCATCCACCGTGGTTGTTGTGGCTGCGAGAAGCCTTAGAAAAACCTGTTGGAAATTTAGAAGAAAAAAAAAGACAGTTGAAGGCGGCAGATCGTTGCAGTCAAGGGCCTCAATTATTTTCGCCGACTCGTGTCGGTGTCCGAGAAAATTCTGTTTGAAAATCCGTGAGACTTTCGTGAATGCGATCACCACATGGTATTGGGATTCCTGCTGATCTGCCCGTCAATTTTGCCTGTCCTACTGATTTGTCTCGATCGGACGTGCGTTGTTTTTCTGTTTCTGCACTGCCGAACGTTCTGCATTGAAGTTTCGCGGGGGTCCTGGAGAAGCATCTGTTTACAACTACGAGGCGATTAATAAGGAAGGTGTCAAAATATTATAGTTGGCCGCGTCCATCTCATGGAAACCGGTTATACAAATCACGCGGAGAGGGTGAGAGAGGAAGAACCTGTATTTTTGAACAGTACTTTCACATTATCATTCTGGACTCAGCTCGATCGACGAGACGAAAAGTAAAAGCATGCATTCACTCGGATGCCATTTCTCTCAACTCGGAAATAAACGCCGACACGATCACGGACTTCGTGGGGATATTTTTGCGAAGGGATCCGTCTCGAAAGTGGTTTTATCTCTGCGATGAATTATCTCTGAGACGGCTCGTCTATAGCGGGTGCGTGACGGAGGTGACGTGGGTGTTGTGGACTCACGTGGTCGGGGGGGCATCTTGGCTGCTTCTCCGTGTGGCATTCGGGACGGAGGACTCGGTCGCGGGTCTCTGGAAGCGGGTCCTCAGTTCGTCGGTGCTGAAGGGGGCTCCGGTGTTGTGGACGGGGGAGGTACGGGAGGAGCCGGTCCCGGAGGAGGTGGAGGAGGAGGTGCTGTCGGTGCTGGCCTTGCGGGCTTTCGCCGAGGTCTGTCGGCTGAGAGGCGGGCGGGAGGTTTCTTCGTCGCTGTCGGTGCTGTTCACGGGTTGGGATCGCTGCCTGAGGGCGTTCACGCGCCAGGGCACGGTCGTGTCCGGTTGGGTCGCTCCTCGGCTCGCGCTCGTGCGGGTTCCTCGGTCTTCGCCTTGGGTCTGGGAGGTTCTCCTTCCTTCGGTCTGTTGCTGCTGCGGTTGCGGTTGTGGGGTTGCGTCTGCAGGTGGAGCCGATCTTCCGATGGGTTCGTCACGGCGGGTCTGGGAAAGTCGTTCCGGTGGAGGTCTCGTTGGAGTCGCCGGTGTCTCGCTCTGGGGGGTCGTCGCCGTCGTGGTGGTGGTGGTGGTGGTAGTGGTGGTGGTGGCAGTGGTGGTGGTACCTGTCGTGGTGCTGCTTGCGGCATTCTGCTCTTGTTCCCATCGCTTGTTCATCTTCTTCTGCTTCGTGATCTCGTCCTCTTCGCTCACTTGACGCGCAGTTCTTCTTGGCTCCGCCGGTTTCGCCTGTTTTTGCTGGGTTTGGGGGGTGGGGGCGGCCGGGGAAGGAGAAGGGGGAGGCTTATCTTTGGCTTTTTTTTCCTTTGCTTCCCCTTCGACGAGCCTCTTGAGGACTCGAGGGGAATCCAGGAGTCGGGTGACCCCACTCAACGGACCTCGGGTCGCATCTTCGGTGTCTAGGACCCTTTCCCTTTGGTGTCCGTTCTCCTTTTCCAAGAATCGGACGCTTCGCGCTGCCGAAGGCTCTCCGTCCGAGTCATCGTGCTGCTCGCTCCTCAAGAAGCGAGAGCGATAACGAGACCTCGTCGAACGAGGCTGATCTCCTTCATCCGACTCCTCCTTCCTCAGGTAACGCCGCTGGGAAAGAGGGGAAAGACCGGAGAGATCACTGTCGGACGGGTAGAGATTGTTGCGGTCTTCGCGGAACTGCGCCGCCAGTCGATGATCGCTCTTCGATCTCATCACACCCGGCACCGCCAAAGACACCACTTGAGACGGCATCGTCGAATGGATGTTGATCTCCCCCACGTTGCTCAGTCCGAGCTGGAGTTGCGTCGGGTCCTGGTGAAGAACGAGACGGACGCGCTTGCTGTAGTCCGAAGTCTCCAGGTCGAAGTTGCGGAGGAATTCCACCGTTCGCAGGAATGTTTCCTTCGTGTCCAGGAGTTCCAGGTCGTCCCAGTCCACGCCTTCCCCCGTCATGTGTTTTTCAGCCAGCTCGGAATTGCTCTCGATGTTGGATATCTCCTGCTCCAGGTTCTCTTTGATCGTCATCAGGTTCTTCGTCTCCTTCACCGAGTAGTTCTCGACCTTCATGCCCGTAAAATGTATGCAAATCGGTTGTCCAGACTTCTCCATCTCGCGTCTTGGATTTACCAGTAATGTAACCTTCTTCGAACTCCGAATTTCAGTGTAAGAAATCATAAAAAATAGTATTTACCATTCGCCCCATTCTCATGAAGGCTAATTACTCATGGGATTCCCTGACGGTATTTAGTATTTGGAGCCGGTGTTGCAACTATTCCTAATAAGGTCGACTTCACAATTATAATTCCTCAGGAAAAACATGAATTAAATCTAACTCCAAATTCCAGTTCCTTTTCAGCAAAGAAAGACGAAACCCAGTATTATGGAAACTACTGTTTCACCTCAAAAGGAGGAAATTCACTAATTTCTGTATTCATAAAGCACGTGGAAACGTTTTGCCATGGCTTCTCATTACAGTGCCACGACGAACAATCACTCTTAATGGGGAAGCAGGAGAGCAAGAGGAAAACGAGTTCCAATCGGACTATCATTTCGGCCTTTCAAAAAAAGGCTGCCAGAGTACTAGTACTTACAGTGCTTCGAGAAGAATTGGAAATCCCCTCTCCACGTCAAGAAAGAATCGATTTCTTGCATTTGATTCTTCCAGAATTGGATTCCTTGATGTAAACTGATGTCAATGCATGCTTACCTCCATCTTGAGGGCTTCGGCCTTGTCCTTAAGGGCCTTCTGTAGCCTTGTGTGAAGGTCTGTGATCTCCTCAGTCACGTGCTTGCAATTGTTCTGCAGAAGCTTGGTGTTCTTCTCGACCTGAACGATTGCTTCTTGGAGTCGATGAAACCCCCTTTTCACCTGTCGGCAAAAGAATCATCAACTTCCTGATCCACAATTAAAATTTCTGTAATTCTGACCCTAAACGTCCCTGGCAAGTTTTTTATTATTATAATATATTTATTTAGCATAGCGTCAGTTGAGACCTGTGCATTTGAACCTAGTGGAAAAAAAGACGAAAAAACAAGTCTAGGGTAAAATCGTCAGTTGCAAGGAGATACGTGAGAGCCCGTACCGTCCAACAACGAAGTCAAATTTTCAACTTGAGTTTATTCCTAAATGGCTTGAAAACACTTTTCCTCGAGTCGGACATATCCATACATTTACCATTCGAACGCTGCAGTCGACAGTTCGGATTGACCGACAAGCACCAGTCGATGGAACGAATCACATAAACCAGGGATACTAGGAGCATAAAATGTACTTGAGAATGAGAATGCATTAACTTGGCGAAGAGACCTGATTGTTGATGCGTTGGATCTCCCGCTTGAGGATGTCCACGTGAGCAGCCTTGCAGCATTCGCACACCTTCTTGTCACAGTGGCCGCAGACCGTGCAGTAGGCCTTCTCCGAGCACACCCCGCACCTGCCAGATCGGTCGCTTTTGTTAGCAATAGGGACCCGGCTGGGATCGCGAATCCCTTGTTGCATGCTGTTTTTGCCGGCTCTATGTATTTGCGCTGATTCCCAAGACGGGTTACCTTCCGTTGCTTTCACTGCAATCATTCTGGAGTGGACGACTTTTCCTCTCGCGTATAGGAGCTGCCGATGTACAGGGTGTTCCGAAAGTTTCTGACCCACCCACACAAGATGTGGCTAAATGCTATGCCAGCTAGAGAGAAAACATTCTGCTTATCTACACGGGCAACATGAATATCCGGGGGATCTGCTCAGACAAAGAGAAGGCTACTGATGCGGGGGCGGAGGTGATGCCTCGGAAGCTTGCTTCGCATTCCGCGCCATTCAAGAGAATATGGTACGGGTCTAGAAGAATTTACCAAGGAACTGTCCGGACCTCAGCATCCGGAACACCTGTGGCACAGGTTCCAGTAGAGTGCTCTGCGTCAGCCCCACCCCATAAATCAGGCGTCAGTCATTACCTAAGTGGAGTGAGAAATAAACGTGACGAGCGTCAATCGTCGGTTGGTTGAGAGATTCGGGACGATGATCCGAGGTTTCTTTGGGGTCCAAGGAAATCATATCAAGTATTGATGTAGGAGTTGGTACCTTGGGTATTCTTGACCATGTGGAATGTAATTAAATCGATATATCCCCGCCAATCTCGTCTACATCTACATTTTAGTGGGTCAGAAACTTTCAGAACACCCTATATGTATGGGTATGATTATTATCGGCTTACATTCTTGCAGTTTGAAGAAGCTCCTAAAAATTAAACTCATGCCCGTAAGTACCAAGCTCGTAAAGCGAACTCACACGGAGGGGACATGAGACCATTTCATTTCCTTTCGAGATAGGACAAGAGAATTATATGAAGACCACCTTTTCCCCTCAATTCCTCATAAATACGATCACACGCCAAGCGCCATCATTCAAGACATAGTAAGAGCAAAAAGTAGCAAAGAGAAACAAAGAGATGCAAAAAGCGACTGGAACCTTTCCATAGTCATGCCAGTCGTCGGGTCTGGCAGTTCCCCCGTGATCTCCACGTGGAGCTCCAAGAACCTCTGAAGGGTGACGTTGGTCGGGAAGGCCTGAATCCCTTGATACGGGATCCGATGCTCTCCCCTGCATTCTGGGCATTTCACCTACGGATTCACAATTCTGATTCGTTTCCGTGCATCCCCACCAGGAGTTGGAATTAAACATTACTTTTTATAGAAATCATTTTCAAAAGTCAAATTTCATTTAAAATCAATTAAAGGCACATTCCAAAAGTCCCCATAGATTCATCAAAAGGCATCAAATTAATTTTTAAAATGTAATACGAAAATTGGAAGAGTGTATGAATATGGAAACGAGAATGGGATTGTTGACCTGTCTTCTGACGTAGTCGATGAGGCCCTCCAGGCAGGGGTCGAGGCAAAAGGAGTGTTGACATGGCAGCAATTTCGGGTTTCTGTACCGGTCCAAACATATTGCACAAGTTAGCAACGACTCGAACTGCTCCATATCCTGTTACGAAAAAGTGCATCGTCGATGTTGACGTCGTCGTGCCAAAAATACAGGATGCGGAAACGATAAATGGAAAAGCAGGGGGAGAAAAAGCGGTATTCAAAAATTTGTATTTGAGTAGACTCGCTTGAACTTGAGCGAAGTCGATTCGCTTCCTTGGAACGAACGTTCTGGAAGCCTCGATGAGTCATTTGGCTTGGCCCACGTCATGTGTACCAAAATATAATCTCGTCGTAGAGTATTTCCCCTGACTCGGAAAGCTTAATCGCAACTAAGATCGAATCGACAGTTCCAAACCAAGAGAGTTGCCACTCCAGTATACCGCCGGGGCGAAGTAACTTATAATTTAAGGTTAAAAAAAAAATACTATATTTTCTCTCGTCTCTCACCTCGATTCTCGTGTTATATCATCCGATGAGTCAAGAACCCGTCAAGAAACCACCAGTCGCACACACAACACGTAAGAAACGGAAGAAACCCAACTGAGAGGCACCTAGAGAGGCACCCATCCAGAGAGGCACCCAGAGAGGCACCCAGAGAATGAATGACACCCACGATCGCAGGTCGCCTCGCGATGACGTTGCTTCTTCTGCGTTTCGAGACTCCACGTGGTATGTGGGACTTGGCAAACTTACTGAAACCCTTTCCTCTTTTTCTTTCCTACTTTTTTCCTTTCCCCCCTCCCCCCAAAGTCCTCGCCCTCGATCAAAACAGGATCTAAATTTGGACCGTCGGAGTCATGCGACCAGAACGATGGAATGACTCATCGGTCCTTAGAACGAAAAGACAGCGGACCGGGTGATGTTTCCCTTCTCTGCCAATGAGTGAGGCAGCGGAGTGGGTGATGTTTCCTTTCCCTGCCAACGAGGCACCGAGCGCCGAGCCGGAAAGGTGCCAGAGAGGCCGCTCTCTCCCATCTCCTGTTCCATTTTTTGCGTCGTGGGCGACTTCAGCGGGGTCCACGTGTCTTACCCCCGTCAAATTTCTTTCATTTCTTGGTGCGCCGATTCGACTCCAAGGTGACGACCTTCGGTCATAAATCCTGTAAACGGAGACGTGTCGTTTTCCCTCCGGCCCTCAAATTATTTTCTGTCTGCACGTAAGTCTTCGTGTTCTCTGTTCCACGTCTCGTCCTTCAGCCTGAACTCGAGCTGCTTAGAGGTGCCATGCTCGAAACTCGAGATGGTTGAAGGTGCTAATCGCATCAGCCTTCTGGATGGCTGGACTCCGTGGAGGATTTCATTAGGATTAGGAGACGAGGAACGACTGCCAAACTCCCAAAATATTCGATGCGAAAAGATCCTCTTCGCATCTATTTGCAATTCATTTGCATCGATATCGCCTTCGAAAGATTGCAATGCTCGGGATCCTGGATCTAAATGCATTCACAACAATATATCTTCTTATCCTCCATCTTCTCTAGAAACGGAGCTGCGCAAAAGGTCTCAGGCAATGAAGGATGAATGTATGAATGAATGAACGTACGAATATGAATGCTTTCTTTAAATAAAAAATAATTTGTTTACCGCAGGCGCTGTGTGGATGCATTGAAAAGCATTTTCTCCCAAGGCAGGAGTGCCAATAGGTGGGATGCCTAGCCTTAAGGGGATGCCCTCCGTCTTACCCTTAAGGGGATGCCTTCCATCCTTGGATTGAGGCGGACCCGCTTTCGCTCACGTATAGCGGCCGTGCAAGACGGCAGTAAAAGTCCACAATTACATTGAGATCGTACGTTGAGACCCGATTTGACGAAAGTTGCACGGATCGACCAGTGGATCTCATTCTCAAAACAAAGAATGGCGTTCTGTTAATGAAAACCTTTCTTCGCCTTCTAAGTAAAATGGTTTTTCGGAGACCCATCGCTCGATCTCATATTATTGCTTATTCCTTCGTTCCCACAGGACCAAGAATCTAAAGGCCGATTAAATTCAGAGACAGAAACCGTTTTTTTAAAATTCGAAGTGACCTCCCGTTCGTGCCCCCAGACACCCGGTTTGTTTTTATCATAGAGAGGATACTCGGAAGCCTTTGGATTCGAACGCTGAAAAGGCAAATCATATGCGAGCACCACAGTTTATAGTACAATGAAATAGTGTGCAAACCATTCAAGGGCTTTCCCCATTCTTCAATCTATCCCCCCCCTCCCCTCCCCCTCCCTCCTCATATCTACGGAGCTCATTAACGTTAAGCCCTGGCCTGACACACGAATTGTCTCTTCAGGTTAGGCCTAGGCCTACCTCCTTCAAAAGAATCTCAACCCTGGACTTACGGAGCCAATTAGGCTTATGAGGGTGAATCTCGGGGTCTTCGAGACGACTGGGTGAGGACGTGTAACGTTAGGCCGATTGCAGGCCTATTCCGACTTCCACGAGCCACTTCAGAGATGACGTGTAACGTTAGACTGATTATGGGACTGCTTCGAGATTCATGAACCATTTCTCCAAGGACGTGTAGCGTTAGGCTTATCGTAAGTTTCTCGAGCCGTCTCGACGCGGTTTGTGGACAGACTGTCCCCGAAATTCCAATGCAGTTTGGACGCAATCGTCAACAGGGATGTCCGTGCACGGTGTTGTAAATATCCCACTACATCCATCGACCACCGCTAAAATGATTCGATCTCATTTCATACCATGAATTCAGCGCAAAAATGTTTCATACCCCAAAAAATAAGACCTAGGAACGGTCACGACAGCAGAAGTAGTCATGAATCCGACACAATTCCGGCACGATATCCGGCAACCCTGGGAGACGGGACTGGCGCTCGCACGCTAAGCCTAAATGAACGACAGCCTATTTCATTTTTCATTGCGAAGTGGTGCATCGCCAACAACTAAAAGGGCACTAATTGTGCTCTACAAGTCAATATTTTTCTCCTGATAGGATCATCTCCTGTGAAAACTCGACAGAAGTGGCAACCCAGAGGGGAAAAAACAGGAATGAAATTGACATCCAGGAGTGAGGTGGAAAGTTCCCCGCATTCCCTGAATTGGAGTCTCAAATTTCCTGGAGCGATTCTGTGCCGAGAGGGTGAGATGCATGCCCGATTTCGTTCTTCCAGGTGCTCTCAGTGAGGAATACGAGGTGGAACTTTGTGACGAGAAGGGGTTGAAGGATGGGAATGAATTCAATTTTTTTTTTCGATGGAATCGAGCAAGCTTACGTAAGTGCGAGATTTAAAACCGGGAATCGGGTGATTTAGTATGTGGGTCGCGTCGAAGGCGGGGCAACAGCTGTTAAATGTTTAGCATGGGAAACTGCCAGAATGTGAGTCAACATCGTTCTCCGCAGAACGAGACTCTCGTAGCCATAACACGTGCTAATTCCTCTTCACGACTGCTTAATTTTTATGCTGCGATCCGATTTTTTTTCGGCGACCGGTGACAAATTCCTTTCGGAGAGGTTCACGTCCCTCTAAAAAATAATAGATGCCGAAAGAGAGATTTAAATTATGACATGGGTTCGTGGACCGAGAAAGAGGCGCACGGAGATGCATCTCCGTGACGCCCTCCCACACGTAGACTCGGGCGAAACGGTTAAGTGACACTTAAAACGGCATCCGTCATCCACGTCGTTCGATTAACGGACAAAGAGGAAGCAGGAAGAAGGAGAAAAGAAGGAGAAGGAGGCAGGAAGAAGGAGGAGGCAGGAAGGAGGCCGAGCATGACTGATGACGCTTTCGGCGCTGAACCGCATGCCAACTGCGGATTCCGGCCGGGGAGAGAGAGAGAGAGACGACGACGGAAAAGAAAGTGTCGCGTTGAAACGGCGGCGGGGAAATGCGAACGAGGTCGTGAAACTTCGAGAATGCGGTTTAATTCCTTTCGAAAGATGCAGCGAAGCTAAAAACAAGCAAAAAAAATTTTTTCCAAGGTTCACCCGGTTCTCGTTTCGACCCGGAAGTGTTGCAAAAAAAAGCTGAAGGCGAGACGCATATTGTTAAATATGCGCCACGTCATCAACGCTGACGTTCCCTCAACGCGTCGGTGATTCGCGAAATCATCGTCGATCGTCGGTTTCTCATCGGCCAGGAGATTTTACGCAATTCGCGAAGTTCCTCGGCACATCGCAAATTAGCTATAAAAAAAAGAAACAAACCAGCGTGAAGTCTTTGAACTATTTAATTCGCCTGCCTTTTTTTCCCACGAAGAATCAGAACTGGTACCAAAGCTAGTACCACAACTAGTACCAGAAGTAGTACCACAACTAGTACCAGAAGTAGTACCACAAGTTGGCACATCGGTAAATGATCGAGATGGAAAATCCACCCTGCCGGTGAGTTTTGGGGACTTTTGGGGTCCTTTCGTCCTGCCAATTTCCCTCAAAATTTCTGCGGAATTAAAAAAAGAAAATGATCCGAAGGAAATTGTTGTTATTGCCTTGTTGTTGTTATTGCCTTGTTGTTGTTATCGAGAGCAATTCCTCGGATTTGCGAACGATCCAAGCGAAAATCTTGACGCCACTTTTTTTTTCCGGCTGGATTTAATGGCGTACATTCAAGTTGAAAAGGCGAATAATTAGAACGTTTCACTTTTTCGATCGGCTCAAGAGAAAATTCATTCATCGCATGACATTTATTTTCCCGAATCTTACAGGTTTTTTTTTCTTAATTTTATTTTCGCCGCAAAAAAAATTTCCCCGAAGCAGATTTTCCCCGTGTTTGCTTGGTGCATGCTTGGTGCATGCTTGGTGACGGCATGAGCTCCAGTGACAAAAAAAATCCGAAATGTGCGAAATGAACAGTTGGTTTCCTCTTTCTTTCTTTTTTTTTTCTCTTTTCTCTTTCCTTCGTGTTTCTAAAGAATAACAGCCGGTGCCCACGGGAAAAATATTAAAACGAAGTTCCTCTAAGCAAAAAAAAAAAAGGTCTTGGGCGCTTTGCGGGGAGGAGGCAAAGGCAACCGGAAACAGGAGAGAATTCTATCGATTAATCGCGGTGGAATAAGGCTTATAAATTAGTTTTTGAAATAAATTTACGAGAATTAATGTCCCGCTCCAGA